TGGAAAGAGTTGAGTAGCAGGATGTGATACCGAATCGTGTCAAAAAATGTGTTTCATGGATCGTCGAGCTCTTCCATATTGGTCCCCCTACTCAAGATACTCAAGCATTCTCAAGCCAGCATGAATCTCAGAAGACCAGGTGAGGCTACGGGGGTTGACACTGATTCTACGTCAACACTGGTGTTCCACTACATCGCTATGTCACCCTCTGTTCACTTATTGATTTGTTCAACATAATCGACGAAAACTGAAGAACACGCCTGATGTTCGCCCCACATCAATCTCACAGATCTTGCGCCAGCTGGCACACGATGTCCGACATGCCAGCTTCTCGTTCGTTCTCGGGTGGCTACAAATCTCACGAGACGCGTCACGCATTACGACCTGGCGAACCCACCAAATCCGTGTGTGTCAAGGCTTGGACAGATTCACATTTCACATGTTACCTTTTTATGGACCATACCTAGCTGGACAGCTCACACCTGTGCCAAGCGGCCTTGGGCAAGGTACACACGATGCATGCCGTGACGTTTGCAACCGCTTTAGGCGGGCGTTCGGCCAGATAGCGCTAGCTGCCGCCATGGATTAATCTCTATGGGTGTGGGTCAAAGTGTACATGTAGGGTACTGCAATTAGGCCATGTGTGCTCCACGCTTTGGGCTTGCTCAAGAGGAACACAAGCCCTGTGGATCCACGTGCTGCTTGACCCACAGCCCTGTGGACGAGTTCGTCCATGGCGCATGTCCGAATCCTTTTGCGAATTCCGGGGGTGTGTTCTTTCGGTGATCCGCCTACAAACCCGATGGCCTCCACCCCCAAAAAAACGAGGACCGACTCCAACCTACTAGCGATGCTTGGGAGTCTTATTGGGTCGAAGTCAAGCCATGTTTGTTTGAAGTTGAGCAGCCCGTTCACAAATGTGAGCTTTGCACACGAGCACGAGATTTGATGATTCTCACTACTCACTACTCACGACACAGCATGGAGAAACCAGACACAAAGGCGTCACCGAGAGGGCATGGTCTTTACGATCTGCAAAGATCAGCTCGAGTGCGGCTGATTGCGGCACGTCCATGTCATGAGCTTTGCTCACCACGCTCAAAAATAGCATAGATGTTGCATGATTTTGAATCATGTAGCCTTGCTGTTCTTGAAACCCATTGAGATTGTGTCAAACCCCCACTTTTGCACTGTCAAGATTCATCACATTAACTGATTGTAGATACCGTCCGCTCGAGTCTGCAAAACAGCTGGCTCGAGTTTCCCGGCGTATGCCAAAAGCTTCATCTGTCATAGACACACCCGGAATGGAGCCACTCCCTAGTGGATTTCAACAGGCGAACACGTCGCGAAAGGACAAAAAACCTGCATGTGACCAGCAACGAAAGCGACTTGGCCGGAGTTTAAGTACACACACCCAACCACGGAGAGCCTCAAATAAAACCTTCTGATCATATTTTGGGGGTTCACCTGGTTACGGTTTCACACAGGTTTGACCCACAACCCGTTCCTGAGCAAGAGCAGCTCCAGGTGCATAACCTTCAGGAAGTGATTTTATGAATCCACATGAAGTTCTTGCCTTCGCCTTTTCAAAGCGTTTGTTCACCACCGTGCTCCCTTGTGAACTTACAAGTGCTTAAACGCATACATTGATGTGTAATCAGTTTTACCTCATGAAGGTACGAACCAGCGAGGCACTGGAGCCATTCCAGACAACAAAAGATGTCGCTGGTGGAGTTTCTTCTCACAGATTTCATAAGGTAAGCCGCTCGACTGGTGAATTCAGCTCAAAACAAACAGCCCGACCTGGGCTGTACTTCGCAGGACAACATGAAGGGGTACATGAGGAATCAATGAACATGTGTTATATTAAATACACCTTCATGGCATTGTCCAGAGCATAGATTGCGGTTTGTTCAATAAAGATGTGAGGATATACCAGAAATGCCTTCCTGGTCTGGTCAATGCCAAACAAAGTCTGGAAGACGCATTCAATGATGTGCTTTTTAAGAAAATACACAAGAAAAGACATACTCAAACAATTGCACGAACCACAAGCAACTCGAGATTTCATTTATGTTCGTTCTACACCCAACTGCCCTGGCTCACCCAGCATCGCCGGTGTTTTTTTCAGGTCCGTCTATTTACCGGTGATTCTACCGCCGTGCCAATGGCGATCGAACACGACGGTGCGGCGGCCACCTCGGATGAAAGTGAAACCGAAGAGGCCGGGCGCGGTGCGGTGGAGTGGTGACGAGAAGCGAAGTGACCGTGACCGTGACCGTGACTCGGTGTCACCAGGTGATGGTCGGTGGTCGTGCGCTGTTTTAAAAACAGCTTATAAAACGATATAAAACGGCCCGTTTTTGGGGAATGTGAACGGCTATGGGTTTTGAGTGGGGAGAGATGGTTCTAGGCGTGTCACTGCTTCGGTGTGGCTTTTTTCTGGCGTTGAAACCTTCAGAAAAGATTGGAAGTCGGTTCCAAAATGGTTTTAGGGTTCAGAGAAGAGGAAGATGTCAGGGGCTGTGAAGACAGTTCTCTGTAAAGGTGTGTCGAAGTAATTGGTCAACGTAGTGGCAAAGGGCGACGGAGACCGAAAAAACAATCAGCTCCGGAGCTGTTTGCCTGGAGCAAACCCATGCTCTTCAGGTACAGACTTTAAGTTTGCAAGGCTTTTTTGGATCCAGTCTTTTCTTCAAAGACTGAAGGAGCTCCTTTCGATCTCGAAACGCTCCGTTTCCGGGTTTTTCTCCACCACACTTTCGGTCACACTTGACCTGGTTTTGCGGTGTTCGCATGGGATTGTATGGATTGGTCATTTTCGCGGGCTGGGTTCCAAATCCCCTGGCATGCGGAAGATGGACTGGGATGGGTGTTCCTGATCCACCTAAGTCCAAGTGGATTCACTCCCCATTTGTGACAGGCATGTGGACTGGGAGGACAAATGCTGTTCTTTCAGTATTCAAGTGCTTATTCTGACCCGAGAATAGATAGACGAGCTTTCACTCTAAATGTCTTAGACAGATGGGTTTTTTGCAATGTTTCGTTCATCGGGCAACTTCTTCCCATTCGTGGTTAGTCTTCGGCGAAGACTCAATTCTTCGGACTCCTCTCCGGCGTCGATTGAATTCTTCTTCATGTCGTCTTCTTGGTCCACACCCCCATGTTCATCTCCCTTTCGGTTTACAGCTTCGCAGGCTGGTGCATCTTTCTCGCAAGGAGGCCGCAAGCTGTCGGGGAAGAGCCCGAGTCCCCTCTGCACTGATCTGATGATAATAGTCATTACATGTTATTACAGTAGTTCAATTTATCATCTGTTTATACCGGAGTATAAACTGTTTGTATCACATAGCTTGCCAGCTGTGGTACACCAGTCTAAACGGAAAAAAGAAAGAGAGACTCTCTGGTCTTCGCTACCACTGGTCTTTGCTATACCTCTTTGTTGCTGTGGCCGGTGGTTCTTCCACCCTTTTCCACCCACCGCGGCGGTCAGACGACGACGCCATGGCCGGTCACCGGTCGCCAGGCACACAGAGCGGCAGCTCCACGTCGAAGCCCGGAGCCGTGAGCTCCACAGGAGAGCCGCGCGGCCGCTGGGGGTCAGTCACCGCCCGGTCAGAGCGTTATCGACGCAGCGTCAGGGGAAGAAAAAGAAGAAACACCGCTTTTGGGGTTTCAGAGTGTTTTTTGGGAGGTGATGCGTATTGACATGTATCGACTCATCCCATCTCATCCCCCATTCATCCCCATTCTGTTGGAAAGAATGTTCATAACATAGCAGTGGTGAAGTGTATCAGGTAGGGCGATGTTCTGTTGATGTTCCGAATGTGACGTAGGCACGAGTGAGATGACTCACCGCATGGCGGGTTCAGCCTCGACCCGGGTCATGACCTGTGCATGGAGTCCTGCTTGTGTGAAGTCCTCGAGCCAGGGCGAGCATCCATTGCCGCAGAAAGAGGTGGAGGGAAGGCGCCTGGCCTGGGAAAGAATTGACCGACTTGTGTGTTGGAATGGCATTTGGAAGTTGAGAAAAGGGCCTTGAGTTGGAGGTTGGGTTGTGAATTTCTACTGCAGCGTTGCAGGATTTGGGAGCAGATGTTTGGTTCCCTAATGACTCCGTTCTGAGTCCTGAGGTCCAATCAACACTTAGGAAGGCTTCCGTTTGTTTGATGAGAAGGAAATCCGATCTATCCGCTCTCCAAGACATGGCTGTGAGGAACTCAAGGAACCCCTCCCCAGCAAGGAAGGCCCCATGGGAGCTCGGTTGACCTCTCGAACATGGAGGAATCTGGGTCAACCAAGGCACGTTTGCCGGAATGCCATGACCCACAGCCACATGACAGACCGGACCAGTGAATGATTGTTCGGCCGGGACACCATCCTTCCTGCATGTTCATGGAGCCCTTCGTCCCGTGATCTTTATTTTGCTCAAATCCAAACAGTCAGAACAAAGGATGCTGCATATTGGCATATTGGCTGCCCACTCATCAGTGGCAGAGTAAGTCAGAGAGAGAGAGAGTCCACTTGCAGCTTGCCCTCTCAAGTACAATACCTGCTTGAGCTTTTGTTGTGACCTCCAGGTGAAACCGTAGTGTTTCTTCATGCAACTCACTCTATGTTGCTCGTGATGAGCACCGCTTAAAGTGGTCGGGGCAGTAGGAGCAAGGAAAACGTTGCCGAACATCATGTTCACCAGAGAACACCCAGACACTTGCATGTTGCCAGCCTATACAAGGCTGTAGGTTTGCTTAAATGAGCACTTGTCAAACTTGGGACCTGATGCTTGCGTAAAGCCATTCGCCCTCCCCAGAGGGAGCGTGAGTCTCCAATCCTCGAGATTGGACATGCCAATTGGATCCATCGCAGTCTGATCGTTCCTTGTTGTTGTTGTTGTTGTTGTCGTCGTCTTCCTCCTCAGGGGAGGGTTGCGCACAGGCACACAGGTGCATACATTCATTTCTTTATCGTTCCTTGCTGACTTCGCCTGGACTTCCGCCATGCCACTGACTGAGCGGCTACCGCTACGCCTTTCCCGCGTGCAGCTGGCAGTTCCAACGCGAGGGCATCCGTGGGGCGCTACGTTCAGGTGCTGAAATAGAGAAGAATGAATTGTTGAAATCAAAGCGGCTGTGGTGGAATATCGCGCCGATTTCGTTGAAGGCGTTTAAGAGCCCACTTTCTTTTCGATGGGATCTTGAGATTCTCCTAGTTCTTCAAGCAACGTGGACTGTGATCAAAAGAATTTGCGAGCTATGTATATATATATATAGTAATTGATTGTGGATCATGTTGCATGTGTGCAGACTATAGTAGCCTGCAGTGTCATGTAAGAATCCTCTCACATTATATAGACAAAATTAACAGTGGACCAGACTCAGACTGGTGATCCAATATTCAGTATTGATTTCTGGAGGTAGCGCTAGTCATGAAGCGAAAGATAATTGGTGTGCCTTGCAAGCGATGTCCATGTTTCGTCCACCCAAGCTTGCGACGGAAAACCAAACGGCAAATTATCCGTCACTTGCTATTGTTCCGCTGCTTACATCAGTCAAGTAGTTCCTCCCACTGCGCGCGGGTATCCAAAAGAAGGTGGCAAACCAAAACGCATGCGTGCCTGCCTGCCAGTGATGCTAGCTTAGCAAGTTGGCATAGCTTAAGACGTTTGCATCATTTGCCGGCATACCCAAAAAGTCTGCCTACGTTCATCAATCTAATTGATCAATTGCAACAGCATGAGGATGGAGAAATGAACTACACAAGTCCTCCTTGCCAAGAAAGCTTGCCTTTCGATGGCAGCTAGTTGCGAATGGAATGAGTAAAGGGTGTAGAGGGCCTCTAACAAGCATAAATGGACGTCAAGTCTTCTTCAAGAGTGGCAGGGTCACAGGGGGACTTGACAGATTCCACATTGATCCAGCGAAAAACAATCCTCGGTAAAATGGTGCCCGCACCGGGTCAGTGCCAAGCCTTTTGTGGGCCGAAGAAGTTGTTCGAAATGATGCAGAATATGCAACTATTTAACTAATAAGTTGTGCAGGTGATGCTGCCTTAGTGTAGTTGCATCATAAAGACCTTGACAAGTGATTGAAAGGAAAGATAAGGGACCTACGTTGCTGGAAATTTGCCATTGAGCGGAGTAGATGACTGTGGGGACACCGCGATTCCAAACTCTGCCCAAACTGGAGGAGATTTTCTATGATGTTTAAAAAAGGAAATCGTGCCGAACACTTTGTTGTTTGTCAAGAATTCTTTTCATTCCACGTTGCTCCCGCAGCTGGTGACTAAGAGCTGGGTTGTGGCACAAGGGAACAAGAGAAAAAAGGAGACAAGGACAAGGTTTTGCATTCAGCTAGGGCGTTGGACTCTGCTTGGAGAGGTCTGTCTCGTTGCTTCGCATCCCGCAAGCTTGCCAGAAGCGATCTGCTTTTCGGGCCGGGGAGGGCGAGAGCCATGTGTCAAGCAAGCCACGTTCACCTCGTTTCCATGCACGGGGCATGGGGGCATCTGGGAATGTGCGTGTGTGTCAAGTTGGAATACCTTGATGCTTCGACCTTCAGCGTCGGTCTTGCAGTCTTACGCAACATGCGTCGCATTGCGTCGCATTGCGTCGCATTGCGTCGCCACGTGCACGTGGGTTCCCTTGCTGGGCAATACCTTTCAATCTGTGGTGAGATCACGTCGTGTAAATTGCTTTGGAAAAAAGAAAAATCCCAGCTTTCAGTGCCCTTGCAGACCAAATCTGCACGTCACGCGCCGTGCGGTACATCATGGAACGCCCGTTCCAGGCTGACGCGCAAGCACGGAGCGCCCGAAGCACGAAGCTTTCCACCCGCAGTTCTACGTTCAAGTGCCGAGAGGGCGTGAGTATGAGATGATGTTGGTCAAGGAAAAGGTGCACCGACGTTTTAGAGAATTGCAAGGATGCACACCAACATTCTGACAACACGACGAAGAAGGGAACCGCGCTTTTCATCAGCGTGCGTTGTGAAAGGTTTCTTCACCTCCGTTGGCCAAGCCCACCCATGCAGCAAACAGTTTCAGTCCAAATGAAGGTCCTTTGGTGCCCATGGTCGAGAAGGTAGTGACGCGTGCGCCATGGACCCGCACGTGTCCGTTGCGCGAACCCACATGTTCATGTCAGTTCGTCATGGTTGAGCCTCGTTGTCGCATGGTCGTTATGCAGTTATGCGGTGAAGCATGTTCACCGTTCACCTATTATCATGTTCTGTTCAAGAGACTCTCTGGGTCGTGGCAACCTTTCTGGGCGGTGTCAGGTTTTGTCAACATGAAACGTCATATGTTGCGACATGTGTACACATGCATTGAAAGCGAGGGGGAATTGCCATGAATTGACAGGACTGCTCAGCGAAGGGCAGCTTGGAAGAACTTGGAGTCAGCCTCTGATGAATTTCTTGTGGCTTGTAGGGTTAGGGAGTCTGCTTTCCGGCCTTCAAAGGTTGAACATTCTCAAAGTTGCAGGGCCCAGGGCACATCCTTGCAAAGCACAAGGTAACCTGCAAGCAAGCAAGGGATTGGACCTATCTGCAGACCTATTTGAAGGTTGGTTTGTCAGCAAATCTGCAAGCATATGTTTAACAGACCAATTAGGCTGGTAAGATGCGGGAATTCTTCAGGTGGTCGATCAGGAGAATAACAAAAACCCGAACTGGATTCGTTGGACTCCCCACCTGAGGAGCTGCGCCGTCCACTTTCCGCCTCCGGACGCACGCTGCTTCCCCTGGCCGCGGCGTGCCACGCGCGGTTCCGGCGCCTGCGCCGCACCGTGGCGCACGGAACCGGGACGTCGGCGTCGGCGGCGGCGGTGTGGCATGCCGAGCGGCGGAAGGAGATGCTGCGGCGGTATGGCGCGGAGCTGCAAGCGCTCCGAGGGCCAGATGCACGGACCTTGCCGTTGCTGGGAAGAAACGACTGTCAAACTTAAGATGGATGTATACATACAGTATATGAGCATATATTAGCCGCATGGCTGGTGTTCCATCTTCCGATGTTGTAAGTTGTAAGGAATGAGTTTCACAGACCACCGACCCACGTGCTTTGGGTTCCTCCCTGGAGGCCGTTTGCATGGCCGAACTGAGGCTCTTGGCTTTGGCTAACCTAGCACAGCTCTTGTTGGCCATCTTTGCGGGGCAGCAGCTGCAGGAAAGCCAGGAGGCCAGCCAGCTAGGAAAGCCTCCACCCAGGAACCTTCAGCACCACCCAGTGCTGAGTGGCCTGACGGAGTCAAACAAAATTACAAAGAAACGAAGTCTTGGAAGCTACGAAATGTTGGTTGCAGTATGGATCCTCAAGGTCCTCACATGATCTTGTAACATCTTGTAACTTACTGCATGCTCCTTTGAAAAACCTTGCCTCATCAGGAGTTGTTCGATGGCGGTACCCAGTTGTGCGATCGCATGAGGCTTTCGAAGAAGCCAATGTCGAGTGCAGTTGTAGTTGCGGGATGTTGATGGAGGCTCCCAGTTCACATTGCCTTCAAGTGAAAAACTGTCCGTTCCTCAAGAAGAGTCCTGCGAAAGAGTGCAGGGTGCGCCATCCTAGAATCATGATCAGATGTGTCGTCAGAGTGGAACCGAGGGCTTGCGGCCACGTTGCCAAGAACCACGTCCCTCAACCCACGGTTGCCATGAGGTTGTGACCATTTCAGCGGTTGTGCTGCTGGCCGTTGGCGTTGGTGGAACACTGTCCATGCAGCTTGACGGAGTGACACGAGACACAATTTGAGTCGGCTTCGGGTAAAGACGGAGTCCGTGTCTTTTTGCTCACCCGAGGGTGTCACCCCTTTGCAGCTAGCTGCTAGCCCAATGAACGCTTTTCAGCTTATTCAACCTGAGAGTCACGGCCTTCCCATCCGCATGAGCTCCGCATCTCCTTTACTTCGATCGGACGAAAGATCCGACGGACTTGTCTCGACTCCGTCGACTCGAGCCGCCGACATCGACGATGGTGCCCAGGTGGTCCTTCTCGGTGCTGCATGACCTGCTTCATGGCACCTGCGTGCGCACCGATCGCTCCACACGCGAGGCACTCTTGTCACCCGATGCGTGGTAGATGGTCGTGGGGTGGGGAAATGAGACTCCGGGCATGGTGGGTGGGTGGAACATGGGCCACTGAGTCATGACTCAACCAGATTTCATGAACTATATAATATATGCGCAGTCATGTGAGTAATCAATAGTAACTATAGCAATCATATTGGATGGCTGGACAGTATCGGATGGTTTTGTGTTATGGTTATAGACTAACATGCCATAAACCCACAAGGGGAGGATCTCTTCCTGGATGCAGTATGGGCTCAGCCAATTTTGTGGTTGTCCTAACATCTCCTAACTACTTGAGATGTCCTCACTGTCCGTTGCTTTAGAGGAGAAGCATCGTGTGTTTTTGCAAACCCGCCTTGATGTCGAAGAACACCAGGATGGAAGTAGATGGCGGACACCTGACTTAGTGGAACAGATTCTCCTTTACCGGGAATTTCCTTGGCTACCTTCACCCTGGCCGCTGTGATGGTCGACAGCTCAACGATACAGCTGTGGCCCGCTTGTCCCTTGAGCAGAGGGTTTGATTCTTAATATATGGTAAAATATCGTAAAATGCTTATTTGGCAGAATAGCAGGTTGAGAGTTGAGAGCTCAGGATGTTCTTCAGACATGAGTATTGTGTAGAGCTCAGGATGCTATGATGATCATGTATGTACGTAATTACTCATGTTGGAATAACATCCTGCACGACAGGTCACCTGTGGAAAGCGATAATGAATCTATACGGTGTTTGCCTTGCTGTTCCAAGTTTTTCTTGGTGCACCATGTCCTCCATCAACTGTACCATACTACAGTTTCTGCATGTTTCTACCTGGTAAGCTCCCAATCCCTTTGACGTGGGAACTGAGGTTTTGCCTCAGTTTTCCCACCATCTTCGGGTACCATCTCTACCTGCAGAGGTGCGCGGCATTGCGCGGCAGCTGAGTCGAGTCCATGTTTCTTTCATTACAAACAGCTGGCTATGATGACTCTGGAGTCGTTCTTGCGATGTTGATTTTGTTGTGAAGCACGGTGCAGACTGCATACATAACTGGCTGTGAAGCATTGATTCACCCACCTGGCAGAGGGCATCTCTCGCATCACAAGAATCTGGGTCGCGCTTCCATGGGACAGATCTTCGACTCCGATCGCCTGGAATTTGAGGCGAATCCGCTGCGCAGAATTCACTTCTAAGGCTTTGGGATGGTTTGGGGGATTCTGTGTTTTACTTTGTAGAAGTAGAGAAGTAGGATATACTCCAGCTCAAAGAACCTCCAGCTCCACGCACCTCCACTCTCCACAGGATGGTGACGTGCTCTTCGTGGCGCATCGACAACCGCTGCAGGGACGTCCCTTTGAGGTGGACGTGGGCGGCCTTCGCTTCTCTCCATCCATCTCCCATAACGTCATGACCAGGCGAGAGGAGATGCAGGGGCCGAGGAGTCCGAGGAGGGGGAGAAGATGCAGGGGACACGGCTTGAGCTGTTCTCTGAAAAGCTTATGTTCAAAGGTAACAATAAAATGTATTTTCTTTTGAAGGGTCAACACGAAGAGGCAGAGCTCTTCAGGTGGCCTTTGATTGTAAATGACTTGTTGGTGTGATGTTGATGGTGCACCTCATAGTCATCAACATCACCGGAATTACAACCACAGCAATACGGAAGTGTGCTCAGAGCAGAATCACACCACTTCTGTTATTTGGAAGGGAAACAGCTTTCTGGATAAACAGTGCCTTCAATTCAACTCGAAATGGTAAGGAGCCCATGATCATGTTGATGGTGATGGTTGCTCATATCTCCAAGTCGACTCACGTTCCGTTCATGGTCGTGGAGTCCGGAGTGTGTCTGTGTGTGTGTGTGGCTAGCAACAGCTTCCAGCAAGCAACTGCTTCGTTGGGGGCCAAGGCTTTCTTTAACTGCAGATACAGGCGCCTGTGGCCCGGTTACCACCAGATCAGGTTCGGGATTTGTGTCAAGCCACAAATCATTTGAGGGGAAAGTAAAAGACAGTTCCTCCAAAAGAGATGTCAGAATGTCGCGCAGTTGGATCGGAAGTCGACGCGGCCCTGCTCTGGGAAGGCTTTGGGATACGGAGACACCCTCCGACTCCATCAGGGCAGCGAAGAACGCTGTGGCTTGGTAAACCAATCAATGTGATGGGGTGAATACCAAGATATCCCATTATATCCCCATCTAGTTTGACATGTGAACTAGTGGGTGAACTTGGTGCACAATCTACTCGAATCGACGGGAGTGTAGGATTTGGAGAAGCAAAAAAGAGCACATGGAAGTGGCGATGAATGAACTACAGACTTTTTCTCAGGGAAGATGAAAGAGTGAAGGAGACCTGGGTAGAAAATGAGCCAGCAAGAGGAGTAGAGTAGACTTTGACTCTGGGCCCGATTTGAAGCATGAGCTGGCGAAGTGATCTTTTTTTTGCCCAGAAGCAACCCCAGAGATACGCTTGGCTCCTGCTCCTTCAGTTTCTAGTCGTTGGTCATGTTCTGCAAAATCGAGCCTGCCGAGTCAGTTAAACCATTGCCAACAATGCCCCAAGGGAACTACCACAGCACCAAGGACTGACCAAGAGTGAGCAAATGCCATGTTTAGGGGTGCATGTGGCTTCGAACCATTGATCATCATCGATAGTTCCAGGAGAGCAAGTTTCAACGCCTAAGGTCCTAGAATTTACTTGGGCTGTGAGATTCTTGGATGGAAGGAAGATTTGGTTTGATGTAGTTCGCTCACAAGATGAAGCACACTGAGCTTGTCCAGCTGTGAAAGATTGATGAATTCATTCGAGTACTGGCCTCCACACTGGACTGGTCCAACGTGGTTTGTACATGTTCTTACAGACTAGGTGGGACCCACCCAACTTTGGGGAGGCCGCACTGGACTCAATCAACTGGAAAAGGGGGTTTGCCTTTGGATGTCCAAAGTGAAGTCAAAGTCCTTTGTGCTCCCTCTCAGGCCTTGTATTGCTTTTCAATGATCTTCGAGCGGTGTGCGCTTGCTGTTAACGAAGCTCGTACTGGCACATGGCACGATATGGCACGGACGTGTATCAGAATGGAGTTTTGGAGTGGCATTCCTTTCCTTTGGAGGCAAAACGAGAGCTGCACATTCGTTGAGAAAAGCTACATACTGCATAGATCTGCATAGTAATGTAGACTCGATTTCACAATCCATATTGGGGGGGTCTGAAGCAAGAGTCTACATTACTTTGCACAGGCGTGTGGCCAGTCAAGGCGATCGATTCAGAGATTTGTAATGACAGCTACAAAGGTATAAGTTCACAGTCTAGCGTAGATCACTTTAGTAGAGAGGGTGCAGTGATGCTGAGAAAGTGCACCAAACCATGTAAAGCGCCCAAAAAGACACGATAACATACGATAACCTGCATGCACATCCGACAGTCCATTCACACATTCACACAACGTGCAAGCGGATGACGGAAATTCAACCTTTGGTGAATGATTGGTGTGCTTTTTTGCAGTAGAGCCAAGGACAAGATTGTGGCCCTGTTTGGGCGCAACGCAGCTTGTTTGCACCGTGTAGAGATTTGACCTTTCTCTGAGACCCTTGCTCCTCCAAAGGGACTCCATACATTGATGGGCAAATCCGCTTTCCCAAATCATGAGCAAAGACCGTTGTGCCACCACGCAGTACGAATAGTAGACTTGATGCTCTATCATAATATACTCGCCAGTCCAGTGTCTTATGTGTTGCAAAGGTCCATCCGACGCGAAAGGAACGAACTGTACATAAAACTGAAGACACCAGAGAGTGGGATTCTTAAGGGTGGAGATCAAGTGGTGTGCCTTGATGTGAGGATCATTTGATCTCTTGAGTTTCTTTGGTGCCAAGGCCTTTTTCCTGCAAAAACCTGCAGCATTCCATGATTCCTGTGCCACGTACGCGCGGACAGACACTTGATGCAAGCGGCGAGCCGCACCAGGGACACTGAGAGCCATTGGCTCACAGTTGGGTATGCATGAAGTGCTTGGTTTCGAAACCACCCAGCTGAGACAAACAGTGGAACCCAAGCCAATGGTTCACACCCTGCATTTTCTGGTGTGATTTTCCTTCAACCTGAGGGGAGCAGCCGAGGTTCATCAAGCTTTCCATCTTTTCCCTACTCAAAAAGCCGTGCTGACTGTCAGACTGATCAGACTGATCAGACTTCCAAGACTGAGAGTCAGACTGGTCTAGAGTCTAGAGTCTATCCCTTAAGGTTCGGACCACTGAGGCTGCGGTCTCGCATTTGTTGCTTTGGGCCCTGGCAGGCGGAGCGAGTGTTGCGCGGCGCCCTGCGATTCCGCCGCCCTTTTTTTTCGGTGCGGTCGGTGTGCAGGGATGAGCATCCTCGGCAACGACATGCAACGACCATGGAACTGATGGTTACCATATGACCATATGCATGTGTGTTTTAATAAGGGTAGACTATAGACTGATATAGACTGGTCTATTTCCCAAACCTGGGAGGTGTCCCTATTTAACCTGGAGCCCATGACACCATGCAGCGAACGACCCAGGCCATGTATGAAAAAGCCGAAGACGCAGAGTTTCGGAGCACAAGCGGTGAACGCTCCCTGTTCGAATTCGACTTATGGCATCGGAAAACATCGGCGGACCGACCGCCATGGTTTTGAGTCATATCCAACTGGGCATAGACGCCTCAGCCAGCTTCTTTTTTTCACTCGCCAGGGCCTGGAGCCTTGATTTATTTGCTCATCGCAGAGGCCACTCCACATCCCAGAACGAACGCCTCCGAGTGAAGAAGAGGACTTGGTTCGTTATTTGGGACAGTGTGCAATCCCACCAGGATTGGTTCAAGAAATCCCCAGTTTCTGGCGGAAGAAATCCCAAGACCTGAACCAGCTCCTGGCTCCGTGGAGCCTCCGGGAGCTCGAATCGTCTGCAAATGGATGCTGATATGCAAATTGGTACGAATGGTTCAATGGATTGCCTAGAAATCTAGCGCTCAGCCGCGACTGCCAGTGAGGTGGCATGGCAGCTGCCCATTCACCCTGCCTGCGGCATGTTCGTGCTGAGCTAAGACATGCCAGAATGAGTGAGATATGTGAGAACATTGGTCACTTGCAAGCAAACGATTCTTTGGAAAGGTGTTTACCAGTGTTGAACGTTCTAGTGACGGAAATGTGTGGGGCAAAGTCTGCACATGTTCGCATCGTCTTTGGGTGTAGGAGAACTATGGAGGCGTCTTACAAGACGTAGTAACTTCCACAAAGCTCAACGAAGACATGTTCAATCATTTTCAAGTTGAAATTGGTGGAAGTTGCTAGCGATTTGGAAAGAAGAGTCCTGCTACCTTGTTTGTTTCTGAGAAATCCCAAGCACCACTCCACCCTTTTTACTTTGAAGTTGACACGTCAGTCATGAGCGCTGATCACAACCCAACCTGAACTTTGGCTCAAGAAACAAGTGCGGCAGCTTTTTTAGCTTTTGGTGTCGCACGCTCAGGTTATGAGGACTCGCCATGTCATCGACGACGATGAGAAGAAGAAGGGCAGCCAGCGAGAAGGCAGCTGTGGAAGCGGCGCCGGTGGTGATCGGTGAAGCGGATCGCCGCTTGGACGCGCTGATAGAAGAAGAGGTGAGGAGGTCGCGATCTGCGGATGCGGGGCCGAGGAGGGCATCTGATACGGGGAGCACTCCTAGGGGTCCACCAACCTCCTTTCGACCACCTGTGACTGGGTCATCGGAGGGCAACCTCAAGGCGCTGGAAGATGGTGGAGAGGTGGGAGCAGCAACGCTGAAGTCAGTGAAGACCAGCGAACCGGTTGGGGCACCTTCAACATCATCAAGTTCGGCGGTTGGGTTGGGGGCACTTCATGATGCGGTCCAACGAACTTATCATGTACTTCAACAAGCACTAGCGGGACAACCTCAAGGTCAGGGTCTACTAGCACCTCTTGGACCTGGCACTGATCCGGGAGCTCGAGGAGGGCTTTTCGGCGATGGCAGTGGCTTGGTGAACCCGAGAGCCTTGGACTATGGGCAGGGGATGGGGCAAACACCGAGTCGATCACCCAACATCAATCCTTTTTGGAGTCCCTTGGTTCAGGAGGCAGCGAGGAGAAATCTGGTGGAGGGAGGTCAACACGGAGGTGAAGGTCTTCTTCCTGGAGGTCATGCAGAAGCACGAACGTGCGGGAGTACTCCGGCGGCTGCTGGGGCAGGTGCTGGACCTATGGCACAGGACTCGGGATCGACGTCACCGGGTCCGGATGATGTGGAAGCCCTGAGAACCAGAATTCTCCGGGAAGCTGAGGAAGCATTTCAAAGGGAACTTCGTCGACTTGGCACTTCCCGTGAACCAACGGATACGACTTCCTACAAGACGGTTTCAAGTGGTCAACACTTGGGAGACCCTGCACCAGATCAACCCCCTGGACTACCTCAAGGGCGGCACCCGATGTCGAGCTCTACAGTGGACCATGGATCTGGGCAGAAGGTGGTGAGAATTGGTGGTGGGGCCTCGACTGCATCGACGACGGAGGCGTTGAGGAACCTTGAACTTCCTGCCTTACCTTCTCCGAATGTTGAGGGAGCTTCAATCTTGTTTGGGGACTGGCTCACTATGAGTTTTCCCCTGATGGCTGACATTTCGCATAGTGCCAAGGCCTGGTGGGAAGAGTCACTCTCCATTGCGCAGGAGCACTATGCACGTTGGTTGACGATGACACCCCTGGAGCGACTGCGCGCGAAACCAGTGGTGGTGGTGGAGCCTGCACTGCAGAGGATTGAACAAAGGGGCATTGCAATGTTGTTGGGGGCATTGCCTGACCAGCTCCGGCGTGATCTTGTCAGTGGGCGGCAGCTCTCGGTGGTCCACATCTTGTACCGCTTGCATGTGGCGTACCAGCCGGGAGGAGGGGCGGAAAAAACACAACTCCTCAAAAGTTTGGTGGAGACAAAGTTTGCCACGGGGACGGCAGACTTGCTGACACAAGTGAGGTTATGGCGACGATGGCTAACCAGAGCGCAGGAACTTCACCTCACACTACCTGAGCGCATGGTTGACAGTGCCACCAAATCAGGAGGTGCTCAGATGGCCTTTCGCATTGCAAACGTGAGGCAGGAATTGCGAGTAGATTATGCACCAACGGTGGAAGCAGTGATGGAGCTGTCTGAGTATGTGCAGGCGGAGGTGGAAGAAGTTTCGCTGACGACACCAATGAAGTCCCAGCAGGCAACCGCCACTACCGGAGCTGCAGGAAGTCAGACCACGACATCTGTGAAGGCTATGGCATCATCCTTCGGGGCCACGGAGTCGGAGGATCGGTCTGCACAAAAGCCGGCCTGCAAGTTTTGGAAGAGTGAGGAAGGGTGCAAGCGTGGCACCAATTGCACCTATGCCCATGACACCGCGGACATGAAGGGTCGCTGCTTCAACTGCGGAGGACTTCATATGAAGAAGGATTGTCCGAAGGGGCCAAGGGAGTGAAGCCGGATGTGAAAAGGGTGGCGAAGGTGAAGACCGCGAAGGACTCCGACAAGCCAGAGACGGGGGAGAAGCCTGTGCCAGAGACGGGTAAGTTCGATGATCTACGTGGAGATGGTGGATCACCGCCGACTGCAAGGGCGGAAGTGGTGTCGGACAAGCCGCAAAGCAAGGATGCTACTGCTGAGCTGTTGACGGAGGCCACATCGCTTCTGAAGGCATTGCGGACTATGAAGATGCTGCGATTGAAGGAGCTGAAGCCACAATGTTCGAATGGTTGTGGAGCATTGGCTCTCTTGGACGGTGGCGCAACAAATGGACTACGCCGAGCCCGTCCACATGAGATGACAAGATTGGTCCCTGTCACGGTGGAGTTGGCATCGGGATCTACGACCTTGTTCCGTGTCAAGGAGCACAACACGTTGCTGACCAAGGACAACGTGGAAGTGATAGTTCCATTGCACCGACTAGTGAAGTTGGGCTACAAGCTACAGTGGACTTCGGCTGGCGTGAAGATCACCCATCCTCAAAGCGGAAGGATTGAGTGCACATTGCGAGGTGGTTGCCCTGTGCTTTCTGAGAAGCAGGCCCTTGCTTTGCTGGACATCATGGAGAAGGAGGACAAGGGGGAACTGATGCTGGACGAGGAGATTCGTAAATGGTGGTCATCAAGATTTCCGGATGTTCCTCAGGAGGTGTGGAACTACATGCGGGGTCAGGACCATTACAATCCGGAAGAGTGTCCGTGGAATCGGCATCAACGACGACGACATGCCCGCGCTCCAGGTGTGATCATTCACTTGTATTCCGGAAGGGATACCAAGACCTGGACAGCAGAAGATTGGAATGGCTATGAGATCCTCAACGTGGACATCGCCTTGGGCACCCAGTATGACATGCATGCAGTGGGAACCTGGGGATACTTGTGCCATCTGGCCAAAACTGGACATGTGGTGGGGTGGTGGGGGGGCCTCCGTGTAGGAGCGTCTCTCGATTGCGGCATCGAGAGCCTGGTCCACGGCCGTTGAGGGGACGAGATGAAAGGCGCTTTGGTTTGGAAGGCTTGTCGACTGTGGAGCAGGACTTGGCCTATGGGGACCTGGCGTTGGTCTTGAAACAGTTTGGACTGTGGCTGACGGCGGAGGAGGCCAGGGTGCGTTTGGGAGAAGGTCCAAGGCATCGGTCAATTTCTCCTGCCTATCTGATGGAGTCTCCGAGGGATCCGATGACCTACATGAAGGAGGAAGCTGTTCAGGAGGACATGCCTAGCTTCTGGAACTTCAGAGAGGTTCAGGACATGATGGAGGTCATGAACGCAAAACTGATCACCCTGGACCAAGGCCCAGTCGGGCACGTCAAGAGAAAACCTACAAGCCTTATGGTGGTCAACATGCCGGACATGGATGAGTTGGATGGCATGACAGGTGATGGAACTGGACAGCAAACGGCAACTACATTGCGAGGACGGCTATGTCAATCACGAGAATGGTCGGCATGGGCACAGGGGCTTGTGGCTGCGATCAAGTTGAGTTTGAAGAGATACCTGGGCAGGTTGCATAGGTCTTCCGATCATGAAGGTGATGGACGACCTGCACTTCATCGCTTGGATATGGAGGCCTGGAAGGAACGTGTGAGGAACCAACATCAGCCCTACAGAAGAGACTGCAGGAGATGTATGGAAATGATGGGCATGGACGCACCCCATCGCAGAACTCGGGGGGATAGGGCGGCCTATTGCCTGTCCTATGACATCGTGGGTCCTATGCCGGAAGGTGAGGATGTGGGATTGGGAACCAGAGCCAAGTATCTTCTGGTTGCAACAGTGGCCATTCCAGGCTGCCAAGAGAAGCTCCTGATGATGGAGGAGCTCGGGAGCTGGATGGAGAAGATGGCGATCCATTGCCCATAGGGGAGGAGGATGAGGATGAGCGTCCGGTTCCTGATGATGATCAGGTGCGAAGGTTGAATGGAGCCTGGGATGACTACATCAAAAGCCTGGGAGAGCCGGTGGGTGTGCAGAATATCACGTTGGTGGAGCCATTGGAAAGCAGGTCACAGATGGATGTCACCAAGGTTGCCACCCGTATGTTCTGTCGGTTCAAGGCGATGGGAGTCCACATGCTCCGGATACACACAGATAGAGAGTGTGCCTTTTTGTCGAGATCTTTCCAAGCCTTCTGCCGGCGGTTTGGACTATATCAAACCATGACGGGCGGAGATGAAGGACCGTCCAATGGGCGGATTGAGTGTGAGGTCAACCAAGTGAAACGACGCCTTCGCCTTCTCATCAAAGAGAGTGGCCTGGAGCAGAAATGGTGGCCGGGGATTGCTCGCTACGTGGGGGAGGAGAGACTTCGACGCCAATGCTCTTGTCTTGGTGTCCCATCCACAGCACTCTTGCCGATCGGGGGGGAGAGTCACAGTGAAAACCAAAAGGTGGCACAGAGCAGGCTTTGGACCTTTAACGGCACCTTTTCGAACCATGACTATCATGGGTCCATCTCCTTTCATGTCACAGGGCTATGTCTTGATGGAGGGTGAGCAGATCCAACATGCTAGGGTGGTGGTTCAACAAGATCCAGGAGCAGAACGAGCAGTTTTAGAACTTCAAATGGTTCCAGAGCCTGAAAGGCCACTGCACAGATTGACAGGGAAGCAACCAATGGAACCAATGCTTCCCCAACTTCCGCCTCCAAGGTCATCGCCTGATCCTGGACTTCATCGACTACATGCTACTTCCGGGGGAGAACCAGTCCAGGTCTGGACTGGGGGGGAGTCCTTCTCTTCTGTATGCAAGGAGTGTGGTCTACAACGTGCGGATGGTGGATCAATGAAGAAGATGGAGGGACGTGAATGCTGCGACTTCTGCGAAACTCCTTTGGAGCGGCTTGAGGAGAAGGCTGTGAATGGCACTGTGGAGTGTGGAGTTGAGGAAGCCTATAACCTGACAAGGTGGATGCATGATGAACACTGGGGCTGGAAACAGCTATGGAGCGATCTTTTGAAGGATGTGGTGGTGGGCGAAGAGGATGGACTACTGCGAGGAGCGCTGATGGACTACCTTGAGAAGAATGTCCTGGCCCTGGAGAATGAACTGACAGAGATCAGGGATTTTGACTTGGGTTATCAAATGGCCAAGATGGCTGAAGGGGTGGTTGGTGAACATCCCGATGGTGAGCAGCAGTCTCCCCTGAGTGTCCATGCCGTCCTACAGACCTACACTGTCCCCCCTGGCGCAGGTGAGGAAAGAGCTGAAGGATTGGATTCCGTCACTGGAATATGAGGTGAACTCCTTGGAACGCACCACGAAGGCTGTTCGGCCAGTGTCAGTCCGAGATCTTTGTCATGAGCCGGGCTATGAAGAGATGCTGGTTGTGCCGTCGAAACTGGTGCCGACGGTCAAAGCACCGGATGGAAAGAAAAGATCAAGAATAGTCCTCTGCGGCAACTTGGTGGAGGATACTGCACGACGAGCAGGACACTCTCAGGTTGTGAAGGAGGACAAACAGGTGAATCCCTCCGCAGGAAGATCGTTTGAACTGTATGCCAGCGGGATCGATGGAGGATCGCTGAGGTGTGCATTGAGAAAGGCAGCTTATGAACAGTGGTCGATAGGGATCACTGATGTTTCCTCGGCTTTCTTGCTAGCACCTCGGAAGTCACACCGACTCATGGTCACCAAGCCCCCAGCTATTTTGATTGAAGCTGGACTGATCTCTGCGGACACACGTTGGGTGGTGGAAGCGGCGGTCTATGGTCTGGACAGCTCACCATTGGACTGGCAGGCATACAGGGATGATGTTCTCCGCAGTCTACGGTGGTGGGAGTCAGGTGTGCACTACTGGATCAATGCGACGCCAGAGCCAAATGTGTGGAGGTTGATGACTGCGCGTGGGGCAGAAGGGGACTACGTGAACGTCATGGAGGAGGGTGAAACGTCGGGGTTTGCTCTATCCTACGTGGACGATTTCATTGTCATGGGCCCACAATCAGTGGCGCAGGCCGTTTTGACGAAGCTGGCGTCGACCTGGAGATGCTCTACACCAACGTGGGTGGTCTCGTCGGAGTGGAGGAAGTTTTGTGGAGTGGAAATGAAGTGGAATGGAGCAAACCTCATGATTGGCCAGCCGGACTACGCTCGAGAACTTGTGACCCGGCATCCTGACCTTCCACTGAGGTACTCACCACTTCCCAAGATGATTGAGCTCGAGCCCGAGGAAATCATAGACCCCACGGATGTGAAGCAGTGTCAAACTCTAGTGGGGGAACTCCTGTGGCTGTCGACTAGGACGAGACCTGATCTCAGCTTTGCTGTTGCTTATTTGGGTGCACGGGTCACCAAATCCCCCAAGGGTGTGCTGGAGCTGGCTCGCCATGTTGTTGGATACTTGGCTGCAACCCCAGATCTGGTGCTGGAATATGGACCTTGTTCACCAGAGCTTGATCGAAATGGTCGTAAACAGTCGCTGGCTCGGCTGGACGTACTGACAGATTCCTCATTCGCTCCTGCTGGAGGTCGTGGTCACCAAGGGATCAGGGCTATGTGGGGTGGATGCCTGGTAGCTTGGGAATCGAAGTCTCAAGCCTTTGCTACCTTGAGCACTACAGAGAGTGAGCTTTTGGGCTATATTGACGGGTTCACCTTGGGCGAGAGTGTCGGTGCGGTGGTGAATGTGCTGCACCAGAACATCCTCGAGAAAGACGGAGCGTTTACGCTCAGGGGGGACAACATGTCCGGCCTACAGCTGCTCCAAGCTCCGTCGGGTCCCTGCACTCGTCATTTGAGGTTGAGAAGTCATGTACTTCGTGAACGACTGCAGCACCGTCTCTGGGATGTGGAGCACGTGCCTGGAACGGAGCTATGTGCGGACTTGCTTACGAAGTCCATCACCCAGTCACAATCTTGGCAAGCGTTCAGGAATGCTGTTGGCCTTCGCGACGCAGCTTCGTTGTGTCACTCACAACAACCGGGTGATGGGGATGGTGCGGCTGTGAAGAAGGTTGCATACGCTGCCATGGCTTCGCTGGGCCTGATTGCAGCCATGCCTTACGTTGGAAGCCTTCCACGAATCGCGTGTGTGACTGCATTGGGAGCAATTGCACCTTTCGTAGCTAGCAGTCTGTACAAGACGGCAGAATGCCAGTCTACCAGGAGGCCTAACGCAACCCAGAAAAGAACAGATTCAAGATGGTCAAGGGAAAATGAACCTGACCCAAGTAGGTGGACAGAGAAGTCAAGATGGTCAAGGGAAAATGAACCTGACCCAAGTAGGTGGACAGAGAAGTCAAGATGGTCAAGGGAAAATGAACCTGACCCAACATCGGCCGACGATCGCTCGCTCGACACTTGCCATCTTGGCACCCTGTCGGACACCTCGCACGTGCAGCCATGGCATCCTCGGTTGTGCGCTGTTCGTGCCCCGGGGCCGCATCTGGGACTGGGCACTGACACTCCGTGGCGGCTGGATCGATTTGCAACTCCTCCCACTGGTAATGACCGGTGGGAGTGCCTTGGCAGTGGAGACGGAGCCGGCTAATGGTGGGTTCGTGTGCTGAAGAAAAGCAGGGTGAGAGCCTTCCACCCCCTACATAGGGGGACGCCCTTTATGATTGAGAGAATGGCCTCGACGAGGGTGACAGTGGCCTTCCATCGAAACAGCACTCGAGAAGCCTGGAAGCGGAAGGAGATCATGGACGACTGGATCAACTCCCGCAACACCGACTTGGCTGATGTCTACGAATGGAGGGGCTACAGTTTTTTCTATGTGAGATTCCCTCCGAGGGCGAATGAAGGACATGTGGGCTCTGCATCTTTTAACCCACTTCCACCTCCTGGCTCGGTGACTCAAAGTCTGCATGGCTATGGAGAAGACCATCCGTCGAGGTCTCGGGCAGTAGAAAGGGGAAGAGCGGCGCTGGCGGAAGCAGAGCGTCCCTCCTATGCTGCTGTGGAGGCATCTGCTGAGAGCGCTGCGGGGCATGCGAATGAGGAGAGCCAGGGCTATCGAGCCCGATTGCAGGGCTATGAGGCTAGGGGCGAGACAGGCACCATCGAGGGCGGCTGGGCTCGGGCGCTGGCTGGTGAGGGGTTGATCCAAGAGGATCCATCCCAGATGCCTGTTTGGCTAGGCATAGGAACTGCTGTGCATGGAGAGAGTAGGGAGTCACCCGATACAGACAGCTCCCACTCGCGCGGCAGCTTCGAGAAGATATGATGTCGAAGACATCAGGGGGAGTGAGAAATCCCAAGCACCACTCCACCCTTTTTACTTTGAAGTTGACACGTCAGTCATGAGCGCTGATCACAACCCAACCTGAACTTTGGCTCAAGAAACAAGTGCGGCAGCTTTTATAGCTTTTGGTGTCGCACGCTCAGTTTCATTTTGAGGCCCCAGGTTTTGATCAGCCAGGAAAGGTCGGCTCCTGCGCATGTCCAGTCAGTTTTCCCCAACGACAGGGTGTTTGTTGTTCGTTGCCCTTTTCTCCCGTGCAGCGCAGGTGTCCAATCACGGCAGTGGGAAGCGAGTAGATGGGCAATGTGCTCCAAGCGCATCTCTCTACGTGGGTGATCCTTGGGGCTGGTTCGATTGGGTCGGGAAACCCAGGCGAAGGAGCAGCCGGTTAGTTTGTGTGTCACATGTAGCTGTTGTGCGACCCGTGCCAGGCGGGTGGTGGCATGCACGTGGCATCAAGGGCATAGTTGCAATCAAAGAGGCTCCCTTTGAGCAAAGGAGAGGGAAAATAGATGATCCCCGCAGCCCCATGGTTGAGATTAGGACCTTTGGTTTCACACTACCTTTGGTGTAGCAAGCTACAATTTCTCAAGCGAGCACTTCAAAGCGAAGACATTGGACGACCACAGTGGTCGTCCTCCGCCGCAATCGTCGAGCGTCCGCGCAGTAGTCGCATCGCGTCCGATGTGCGATGTGCAGCGGTCTCAGGTGTGCCTCTTCGCCAACTACCATGTTGAACACCACGCCACTTTGTTGCAAGCCATGGCACAGAAGCTAGGCTGCGCCTTGGCGCCAGAACGCCAGGTCAGCTCTAGGCCGTCGTTGTCCACGCAGTTGGAAACCTTTGGTGTTTGATCAGGAACTCTTGCCTTGTTGCAAGGTCCCAATCTTTTTGTATGGTCCAAACCACGCAATTTCTGCAACACAAAGCATTGAAATGCCTCCTGCATGGGTTGTTCTCAAAATACCTGATGGAACCCCCTTGCCCGTCCTTGCTCACCTATGGTCCTTTCATGTCCTTTCTAATTCTATGACTGGCCAGCAAGAGCATGTCCTTAGCGTACCCAAGCTGCAGTAGATTATATAAGTAGACTGCATCAGAACAGCCCAGTAGATCGATCGAGAGTGCTCTCGTCTCCGGAGAAGGGGCCGTCCCTGCCACGTCCCGAACCGCACGCGCCAAACCGGTCTGACCCGTTTGCCACGGCGGATGGGTCACGGATAGGTCCTTCACCCATTGGACTCGGTCTTAGTAGCCTTCTTGCTCCTAGTAGATCTAGTAGCAAGGCCAGGAGCCCCGTTCGTAGCATCCTTGCTCCGTTCCTAGCGATGCCCTTTGCTCCTAGTACTGTAGCGTTCTTGTTCCTAGCTGGAGCGGTGCTTCAAGTTGCTTCCACCAAAACTTGCGAGGACTTTCCGGATATCCCGCTCTTGAAGCTGCCGGAACTTCGTCGGATCGCGCCCGAGTTCTATGGCTGCTCTTCAAGGTGGGGGAGGTGTTTTCGATCAAGTCTTGCGCGCCGCTTCTCTCTGTGTGTTCCAATCGGGTTGATGCAGAAACCTGGCCATGCGGCGCCATGCGCCTCAAGAAGCTAAGAGCCTGACTCGGATTGCTCACACATCACTACAAGTCCTGAGCGTTATCCAGATCAGCAGCAGGACCATAATTGTGCCGACATTAATGCATTGGTGCATCCGCGTACCCAAAGTTGTTGATTGGCTCAAGAAAGACCCAATGACATGATGTAGTGGTAGCTCCAAATGGTTCTCCATTGTATATCCCGAGAATGAAGCACCTTGCACGCAGTGTTAAGAACCTTTTCAGCCGTGTATCAATGTTCGATTGAACTATCTCTCACATGACCTGAGCAGTCGTGAGTCGGCTGCTCAACCAAGCCCCATTACCCATGCTTGTCCTACCTGTGCTGTCAAACACCACGGCAGACCGTTTCGTGGTCACCTCTCGCCATGGCACCATCTCCCACGTCCCCCTCGGAGCTCCGCGGAGCGCCTCATGAGTTTTAACACCTGGCGACATAGCCGACGTCGCTCCGGGTCCACCTGCTCCAGTGGAAGCACAAGTAGTCTCAGTTCTGGAGCTTCCCTGCATGAGACAGTGCCACCTGCTCGCTGGTGCGTCACGCGCTTGGACTTGAAGGTCTTGCGACAGGAAGTCTTGCGATCCATTCAAGAAGGTGGGGCTCCAGCTGAGGTTTAGCTGTCCTAGTCGTTCTTTTCCCAGGATTGTTGGAAAGAGTTGTTTATTCAAGTTTCTTGTCCGATCCAGGTGAGTATAGTGTATCGCAACTGTAACACCCAGTTGGGAATGTGTTGTATCTTCTTTTCCAGAGTGTTTCAACTATATAGTTTCAACCACCTGGGAGAGGTGACATACAGGTTCCAGCCGATGGAAGCGATGACTTCGATCCTTCCGATGAGACCTTTGGGCCTTCCATCTATACGGTGAACGAGCAATACATCAAGCCGGTGACCAGCCGAGCAACCCGGTGAACTTGTTTCCAGCCCTTTGTTTTCAGGCCGACAGATGATGCTTTTCCGATCTTGGGGTTGAATCCCCTGAAGTTTAGTGGAAGGTTCTTAAAATGTCTGAAATATACTGTAGTGTGTTTAGATGTTGCAAATCCAAGGCGGGGATGATGAGTTGGGCTTTGATGCGGAACCCACGTGGCTTGGACTGTGATATATTCATCAGCCATGCCTGGCAGGAGGGCATCTTCGAGTTTTTGGCCAAGGTGAGACACTCGTGGTCGCAACACCTGCGTCATGCCTGGTGTTGCATGTTGGCGAATCCACAGAACTTGAACATCGAAGCCTTGTTGGAATCACCCAGATCGAGTCCCTTCGCACTGGCGCTCAGGGCCTCGAAACTGGTCTTGGTAGTGCCGAACCGGCACCAAAGCGTTTACACCAGGCTTTGGTGTGCCTATGAGGCCTACTTGGCGCAAGAAGAGGGAAAGCCCATTTTGATTGCCAAGACTTCGAAGAAGAAGCACATGCTTCTGGCCTTTGCATGGCTTTTGCTTGCGGCTGTGCTGGGACTGAGTATAGGCATTCTTGCAAAAGCCATGAAGTGGCAGCTGAGCTATGAAGTAGCATGGGCTGCTTGCGCTTCTGGCGTGGTGGCTCTGAGTATTCAGAACAACAGACCTCGGTTTTTCCTGCACCTTCTCTTCGAGTCCCTGTGCTTCTTTGAACTGATCAACTGGAAAGCCATGAGACGCAGTGTTTCGTACTTGCCAATGCTTCCAGAAGAGTATCATGTCATCAAGGGCATGCTTTTTTGGGTCATGGCAGCCACCATGCCCTTCCTCATGGAAGTCGATCGCATCAACGCGATCTTCATTACCTTGGAAGCTCAACAGCTTCAGCAGAAGTACCGAGGATCCATCCGCTTCGCCGAGTGCTCGCAACGCACGGACGCACAGAACATCGGCCAGGAGATCGGGGACCGGACTCATGCGGTGGACTTTGCCATCCAGGTGAGTATGTTTTTTTTGGAATTCAAGTGCTCGTTTGGTTTTGGGGCGAACTTGGAGGTCAAAACCGGAGCGTCTGATGTCAAAACTTGCACATTATACAGTAGTTGGGTGTTTTACAATTTCCATGTACTTTGCAAGGAGGTTTGGAACACCGCTCAGGTGTTGCTCAAAGCGGGCATGTCCAGCCCTGCTATACGAGACATCGCTCAAGCAGGGGTGGATATCGAGCATGCGGCCTATGCGAAGATCGCCTCGACGGTGATACTATTGGGTCCGTTAGACCTGTTGAGCGTGGCGCATATCGCCATCGATTTGTCCTTTCTTGTAGGCTGCTGGTGGCTGCCCATTCTGCACACAATCTCCTTCATGTTGAAGATGATCTTGCTGGTGGTCTTGTGCAAGAGCCCACCGGATGAGCGCCGCTTTGTGCTGAAGGTCGCAGGCAAGTGCTTAGCACTTGTGGGGCTGGTGCTGGTGAGTATGTGTATCTATGCTTGGAGCTCGTGGACCACTCAGCCGACCTTCGCTTGGGTTCCTCAGCCGATCGATTTCGGTCCGTTTTGGTTCGATTTTGGGGGACATCTACGTAAAGAGAATATTGGGGAATATCCATCCCAAATACAAAGCAACAATCAAATACAAAGCTTGAACTGCCTTGGACTGCTTTGGGGATTCGGCTGACCAGCCGAAAGATGGGTTGAGTCATCTTCAATGCTTTTGGAAGTGGACAACTGCTAACTTGCAGCGTGGAAAAAAAAACAATTGCTTTCAAGACCGATACCCAAGAGGTTCAGCTACTAAGTATGAGCCGTGGTGCCTTTTAGAAAGAGCCGCAAATCTCGCAGACAAACATCACACAGGATCATCCCAAAGGGAAACAATGCATGACGAGCTGTTCTGAATTGTCCATCTTTGCCTTCATCTTCTCACATTATCTGATTACAACCATTAATCCGACCCAACATTTTTGAGCAAGTTGGTTCATGAACCAAGTCTGGAACAAACAGCGTTGAGCCACAGCTGATGTGCGAAAGCTGATGCAGCAAACTAAAGCACAAGAAAACAAAGACCTGGCTCCATTTGGTCAAGGATCTGGTTACCATGACTGACTCTAAAAGCAAATCATCACCACTGGCTGAGAATAGGATCCAAGGTCATCCAAGGTCCATGTAGCAACAAAAACACACATGCATATATGTATAATATATATATATAAACTATATAAGCACTCATTAATAAACTATACTATTTCGATGGTCCAATCCAAGGTGCCTTGGTTGATCATGACCAATGTGATTCTTTTCCTCTTGGTGATCTTCTCTTTGTTGGGCATCAAAGGAACTGCCAGGCTGCCTTTTGGACACTGTTTGGTGCAGTTCTTCTTCGCTCGTGGCATCAAAGCAGTCACTGCTTGCTGTAATCGAAAAAGACCTCAGCTTCCTGAGAGTGATAATGACAGTGAAACAGACACTGGCGGCACTGGCTCATGAGTGTCGACCAGTGGCACCCCCCACAGGTCCGTCCATCAAGCAATGCACCGTTGGTTCACCTCTTCGGGAGGGAGGAAAGCGCAGCGCTTGGGAGGGTGGGTCCTACAAGGGGGGCCACCAACGCATCGCCCACCAGAAAGTGTCAGGTGGGAGACGATAGAGTTCGGAACTTGTGCCAATGTATAGGAGACCTGAGCATGCAATGGCATGCAGGTCAAAGAGCTTTGTATGCAAATGCAGGTCTAGCGTTTCTGAATGTTTCAAGCTCCTTATTTGCTGCCAATTCTTGTGACGCCAAGAATCTATTTTAGAGGCAAGAGGCAAGACTTTGGGAACCGGCCCACACAATGTGGGACCGTGATGAATAAGAAAAGGTGCTTCAGACAACACTGTCATTGCAGCATTCAGAAAGGTACTGTATCTCTTTTGTTACCGTCGATACATGTCAGGTAGGCACGGAGAATGGGGTTTTTGACAAGCTGATCGTTGGAAGCAATGTAGTCAAATGTCCATCAGAAAGAGAGCGGAGCTGGAAGAAGTCCCCCAAACACTGGGCTGGTTATTTGCTTAGTGTTCTTGAAGATGTAACTAATTAATCTAGTCAACCCTTCCCTCTGCTGATTGTCAGTGCTCATTGTCATCGAACGGGTTGAACCACCAACCCTGACACATTTTTGGCGGCCTTGCCGCAGGCTGACGCAGCAGCCATTATCTCAGATTGGAGGATGGATGGCAGAGATATATAAAATTAAGTTGTTTCTTGAGTTGCTGGAAGAATGACTCATTGATTTACAAATAAATGTGGTATCATGTTGATGGAGTGTAGGCACCAGTGCTAGGCAGAAAAACATAGTTTGTTTATTGCTTGATACAATGCCTCTAACATGCGCAAAACATGGGCTTTAGCGAACATGTTGGCAATGCTGATGTCAAAATCAAAAAGGTTTCCAACTCACAAGCTGGCTGTTTCTCCATAGGACAAAATGCACCACCATTCGTGGCGGAAAGCCGGTAGTGATTTGGGATGGTGCTCAATGCCTGGACATTTCCAAAGGCTTCCAGAACCACGACGTGCTTTGTTCATCCCCCTTTCCACGAGCCCGCACGTCCCAAAGCCCAAAGCCTTAGGGTTTGTGGTGGCATCTGTCCACAAGAACTCGTGTTTTTGGTGGAGGTTCAAATTCATGTTGACCATCCCTCATTTGAGTTGGTCTCCCCCAAAGGTAATGTGTAGTCTGAGCGGTGGAGGTGATGCCCACCGGTTCTATCAGCCAAACAGCAGCCCAGGCCGCCAGCCTCTTTAGCACTCATGGAGGCCAACACGAATTGGTCTCGCACCGTCTTTCGCAGCTTTGCGTCGCCGGAGCCATATGCCCGGAGTCCCGGCGGAGTCCCGGCTCGGCGACACCGGTGGTGGATAGATGATGAGACGAGACTGGACGATAGGACCGACGGATTGTGGTTGAGACGTGCAGAGTTTGAGGCGCACAACGCCCATTGTGCTTAGCTCTGGGGCACAGGACTGGGCACAGCTCGACGAACGCAGGTTTGCCTCTCAAAATATATGAAAACCATGAGGGTTGAGGATGTGACAGCCGATCCAGCGGTCTAGATTCAGAGTCTACTCCTGATTTGCACCACTTTCACAGTCGGCCAGATCTTGGGGGGACCATACTGGTACCATTCCGGAATCCGGAATGAGGTAGGAGGCAACTCACTGAATCTGAAGTGAGGCTTTTTTATGACAATGTTTGTTAGAGTATCCCGTTCAGGTCAGTTTGAGCAAAGATTTGTGGAATTCGAAGATCAACACCTGAATCTGCATGTGTCCTAGGCCTGTTCTGTGGTCACTGGCGTGGACAATGAGCCCCTGGGTTTGCAAGGAACTACTATGAATTAAGCTGTTAATACAAGAAGACAAGCTAACAGAAGCATTGTTAATAGTGGGACGATCAATCAGATGTTCTTCCTTCCAACACCCAAGATACCAGACTCCGTGGTGCATGCTTTGGGCTTTGATTTGTGGATGTGCGATGCGCTTTGCTTCGCGAGAGAAGCCAGATCATTTCAGCTGGGACTAGCCATTTGACTAGACACCAAACTCAGGTCGAAAGGTGTTTCTTTAGGAAAAAGAGGAGAGGTGCCAAGATCGCGTGGTAATTACTGAGGTATGGCGGGGAGGAGGAGGTGGCCATTGCCTGAAGGATGAATGATGACGAATGGCTGGCCGTTGCACAAGTCTTGTGTGAATCAGATGAATTTCATAGAATGTTGTCAAACAGTTTGCTGTAACTGTTCGGAAGCATCAACACGCAAGGGAGTTAAGCTGGATGGTCAGCTGGAATTCTTTAAGCCCCAGAAATTGCAGAGTTTGCTCTCCTGCAATTCTGGGGTGGAGTAGAAAAGATCTGCTCAAACGCATGCCTTGGTTTTAGTGATTATGCTGTGTAAGGCAAGAGCCATGGCAATCCCATTCAACCGCTCCAGCACAATTTGATCTAGAGCTTTAAGTCGCTCATGCTACCAGACCCGATGTCCATGGAAAAAGGGTCTGACTGCAAGCGCTTTGTCTATTCTTTTTCAAGATGGCAACTCGAGTTGTTGACTCAAACTTCCCAAATCTGTGAGGCTTCATCACATGTTGAAAAAAGAACCGGGCGGTACCGCCCCCATCTGACGTCCCTCCCGCCCGGGCCCCGCCCCACCCCGCCAGGCGCGTGCGTGGTTCAGCGCCTATGGACCCCGCTGCCGCTGTTCCGGCAGCACGACCACGGCCGTTGCGAGCGGTGCCACGAGTGCGAGCACAGGCGGCGAGTGCGATGCGACACGTGGGAGCACCGTGGGACGCATGGATGATGCGCCTCAAAAAGAAGGGTGAACGAATCGGTTGGAACACAACAACGGTCCATGGAAAGGTGCATGTGGATGTTTTCTCCCGCGTGTTCGAGAATCTTGGCGTCCCACAGCACCCTCGATGAGCCGTTTTGGAAGTTAGGCAATCTTTGCAATAGGAAGAAGAACGCTCACCTCCAGATGCTTAGTTCCCCCCCACCACACCAGCTGTGCAGTGAAAAAGCTCAATGTTTGCATGCTGGGAGCTAGGCCACCACTCCAGATGATGAAACCAATCAGTTTCCTCCCAAAAACAAGGACAAACCAACCGCAAACTGCACCAATACATACCAGCGAGAATCCATACCAGATCCAGTTGAGGCTCCATGCACCACCTCTGGCGTTTGCAGTTCGCTCTCCATAGGGCCAGTGGCGTACGTCGGGCCGCAGGGGCCGCAGGGGGCCGCAGGGCCAGGTCCGCTCCGCTCAGGCAAATCAGGGCCAAGCTCGCCACTGGAGGAGTGCAGAGACGCACCACTCGACCTGGTCAAACACGGATCAACACGATCTGTTCAGCTACTGAACGTCATGCGAGAGCTCCATCCGGTGGTTCTGTATGTTTGGAAAAGGCCGTTTTGACTCTAAATGATGGACTCTAAGGTCTAAGTATGGTCTCCATTAGTCCCCCGGTCACCCTGGCTGCCCACCGGGTGACTGGCTCCTCGCAAGGAAGGAGATCCCCTGCGTGGCTTCGAACTGAGTTTTTTGTCTTGGCCCTAGCTGTGGTGTCTGGTGGTGTCACGTGTTTGTCGCTTGAAATCCAGGCCACTCGTGTTTGACAAAGAACCATGCCGAAATGATAAGTAATTGGAGATGTTGATTGAGTGTCGTTCGTCCTGTGGCCGTCCTTCCTCCGCAAATCCGCCGGGTTCTTAGTCGACGTTCGTTTTCCTTTGCACTCCACTTCGCTCGTCTCGCCTGATTGTTCTGCCGCCTGCCTGGTTACTCACCAAGGTCATTGAGTGGTGTGGACGACACCGTCTCACCAAGAACCCTTTGTGACATTTCCCAAGAGTTCGCCTTCGTTGAGCCGCTTGGCAGTATAGGTGAGTGAGTGGATCGCAGGGCTTCGCAACAGGTGTCTAAGTTGCGATGTTCGTGTGGGGGCAGATCATGCTTGGGTATCTCGAAGTTGTGCATGAAAAGGGAGAAACCCGCTAGCAGCTAGAATGTGCTAAAATCATCTAAAATCTAAACTTCAGCTGCCATTCTGAGGATTTGCGAGCAGGCAGAACAAACATTCTGCAAGCTCCCATTTCGCAGCTCACAAGAAACATCGAACCCCCAAAAAAAGAAACACGCGCACACACATTGGAAGGTCTTCTTAGCCTCATGATTCGTTTCGGACATTCGCAGTGGGGACGTCGTTCTGCTTCTTTCACCCGGAGACGGCCACAGGTGGGGTGTGAACTTCCGAGCGGAAAAGCAAGGTCGAGAGCCGCGATATGTTGCTGGGCTGCATCGTTCGAAGAGAATCCTGCAAGACTGCCCCAATGGATCGGCGCATGGACCTCGGGTACATTGACATGATGAGTTCTTCAGCGGAGCAGCGGAGTGGTCAAGTTGGTGGTCAAGTTGTTGGAGAAGATCTTGCTTTTTCTCGGGATGCATAGATTTTGAATCGTGGAACGGCACAGGTAAGTCAAGTAGCCTCTTGCCAGCCAATAGACGTATATCGCGCCATAGCAAATGACAGCATACCGCCAAGCGGCAAGAGAGGCACAAAGAGGGCCCAAGGCTCTCGAGCCGTGCGTGGCCTGACTCACAAAGTCATCGTTTAGAAAATAACCGAAATCATTGAAATCACTGGAAATGGTTTTTGGGTGTCACTCCAGGGACCCAATACCCAAATCGGTTTCCCTTTGGCCCTTTGGTCACTCCAGGGACTTTGGCCCTCTAGTGGACGGAAGACCTGAGGCTTCGCTGACCTGGCTCCGCATGTTGCAGGAAGAGTGTGGTGGCCCAACTGTCCTCGTCTTCCGGACTTCTTGGCACCACCAACGAGTTGAATGTGTGATGTGATGGGAGAAAAAGCAGGAAAAACGATGCGGAAAACCTTGACTTGGGATGGTTGGACGCTCCTACTAGGTTGGACATCGGTTTTAAGGTGGGTTTGTACTGCACCGAGGGGAGATCAGACAGTGAACTCAGGTTCATTTGATGTGAACGAAAAGGCCGTTGGTTGGCCAATCTAAGTTGGTCCTTGGGGAGAACCAACATTTTGAGCAGTGATCAACCAATCAAACGATCCATCAATCAGCAATCAAACGACCCAATGAAAGCTGCCACTCACGCAGGTGGTTAGTCGGCAGGTCGGTCCAGACCTAAGGATTGACAGACGGCAGCAGACTGGCAAGTTTGCGCCCATCCACTTCGCTGCACATTTGGGAGGCCCGAAGGGGGGAGGCCCGAAGGGTTCACGGAGGCCCGAAGGTTTTGCCCTGAGAAACCAGAAAACCACCTTGTTTAAAAGGTACCAATCATGATTCCCCTGCGAGTCACAGCTGGCCCTGAATTCACGGCATGTTGCCGGAATGTTGCAAGAAATCCATGACTTTGGGGGAATTCATAGATCTGGAGGTGCCTAGAACCATCCTGTCTGGACAGAAACATGACTTATGGGTGCTTGTTGACGAAGCTGCCTGTCGGCCTATCTGTGGAGAGCTTACAACAGTGAGAACATGTCGACAACTTAGAAAGCATAGGTCCCCAGGCTAAGCCTAGTGGTATCCCCATGTCCATCATTTGTGCCAGAGGCAGGATGCGCAGAATGCCATCAAAGTGATGAAAGTGTGATTCCCGTACTACAGACTTTTCTGGGCTACTTTTGCTGAGTCATTCCTCCCAGATCCTCAGGGGGAGACCCGCGCTCTTCCCGTTTTCCGAACGTCCATGTCGAACGGTCCGTTTTCCGTGCGGCCCATCGACGTCCCAAAACGCGTGGCGAGACCGGAAGCTGCGGATGGACAAACGAACTCGTGGAGTCTCCGAGGCGAATATTGTGTGGATGTGCTGAAGGGTGACGCCTCATTGGTGCGAACTCTTTGGGAGGTGGAACGAGCTCGTTTGCTCGAAGTCGCAGCTTTATATGGAGCAGGGACTGACTTAGCACAGGGCCAAGCAAGAGTGGCTTGATTAGGCAGAGTCCAGACTACAGATTTGAGTGTCTTAGAAGCTTCAAAGAATTCGCTAACTGTTGTTTGGGTTTGGATGTCTTGTTTACGAAGACGAACTGTTTGACCTACACCAGTGGCAAAGACGTACGGGAAAGAGACTCGATATACTCTAGACATCTCTAGTATTAGTTCCAGATCTTGTGGCGCAGACGGTTTGGCTGCCAGGACTATGGCTTTTTGCGCGTGTACCTTTGTCCAACACGTGCCAATGGAGTCAATAGCTCTCAGCTGCTGGAGCACCCAGCGAAGCGAAACACCTCGTCTCGCACGATCCCCGCCGGCCTCGCGGTGGACCCAGCTCAGCCGGGCTCGACAGCGCCGCGGTGACCAGCGTGGCGTGTCCGTCGTCCCGTGTTTGGTTGGTGTTGATTTGGAAGCAGTTCGGGTTGAAAAAACTGCGGCTGCCCTTGATGTTCTGGAGATGCAAGTCTTTTTGGGATGCACGAAAGGTTAATGATGGTTGGTATATAATTGTTTAGTAGTACGCTGAGATTGAATATTAGGACGGTCAATATCAGATTGATATACCAGATCAGAATATCTCATCGTTGTTGAACGGATAGGGCATGTCATCATCAAGCAACAATTTGTCCTTCAAACTCAAGGTCCCCCACAATCGTCCCTTTGCTCCACGATGAAAGCCCCTTGGCACAAGCGCCAGGCCTTCTAGCACAGAGCCTTCTGAAACCAGCTTTCAATACCTTTCACCCTTTCAGTGTTGCTGCTGGCACAAGAATTCTTCAAGAAAATGCACCGCACCCACAAATCAATTTCACCAATCCTTTCCCTCTCAACGTCTCAGGAAGAAGCACTTGCCCACCTTGAAGAACGTCATTGTGGCCTTACCCCAGGCGAGACGGACCCAACGACTGGGCCGACCTCGTCTCTGGGTTCGTCATCGTCACGTGAGACGAGACGAGACGACCAGACGACCGACCTGCTCATCGTTCTGGCAGCGGAGTTTGAGGGGGGAGGAAGAAAGCGAAGTAGTACGTCCTGGTGGGAGACCCAGATCCACATTGGAACGTGAAGTCTACTTCACGGTTTTTGGGTATGAGGAACTGAGGAACATCCAGTTTGCTCCATGCCGTTCGCCCGGTTCCATGTGGGTACTCGGAACCCGGACGCAAAAGG